CATAAAGTACAAAGCAGTGAAAACAATCATAGGCAATCGTTCGATGGGCTGAATTGCACAAAACGCATGATCGCACCGGCTATTCTTGTGCGCGCTGCTATTTATTTATTTCCTTACATCTTACATAAACACATACCAACTAAAATTAAAATTATTTTGGTTGGGCCCCTGATCTTTTTACGGGTTTTTTAGCAAACCCTCAGTATCAGTGAACTATTCGTTTTGTCCATCTGTTGTCTGTTATCCTTAAACCAACACAACTCTTTTTTTGCATAATAAAAAACTTATAAAATTTTCTTGTTGTTCAGAAAATGACCGTAGTAGCATTTTGTTGGCTATCTGTTGTGGCTCATTGACTGTCCCTATCTATTACGGTTATCTGTTTTTCTTTTGAAAAAAAAAAAATGAAAAATTAAATATATTGAAATTAGCAAGTGGAAGCTGGATCCTTATCTGGTGGCTGATCTCTGAAAGGCTGACAAAACATGGAGCATTTTGTAGCGATGATAAGAGGGAAAAAAATTAGCTCAGGGAAGGAATGTGAGGATGATCCATGATCCTGATGGCTGGGGTATTTAAATCGTCATGCTATCGAGACTTTATCAGCAATTAAAAACTCGGCATCGATTTGCTGCGCGCCTGCTTTTTTCCTGAGCTTCACAAGCTAGCTAGCTTTGAGTCCAGTGTTGGGACGCCTCAGTTCCATGATTTTTATATGAAGTAAACTTTGCTGTATAGCCTGATTTTTGGTGTTATTCGTATTACTTTAGTGTTGGGATATGAATGTTGGTACACTTGCATACACACACACACACACTTGCACAGACACACACACACACACACATGCACACACACACACACACACACCAGTTTTACCGCTTTTCACAAATTTGACACCGATTTGCTTCTCGCCTGTTTTCTTCCTGAGTTTTCTTCATCAAAAATTTTTTACAGGATGGATTTATATACAGATCTGGGGCGATGAATTGGGATTAGGATTTTTCTGTGAAAATTTTAGGAATAACGTTGCATGAGACTATGGGTTTTCAAAGCTACATTTGGCATGAGGGCAACGTGAAATACAAATAGAAAGGGTAGAAAGGGCCATGGAGGCGCAACCAAGAAATGATCAATCTTCCAGAAAGGAACCTCAGCGTTGTGGTAGACGAGGGTTAGTAATAAAAACCTCAGTACCATGCATGCCAGTATAAAATGTTTGGTATGTCGGTCGTTCTGCAGTGTGAGGTGAATCTGATTCATTAGTGATGTAATCGACAACCATGCCTTTTTTCGTTTCGCGGTTGCTTTGACCAATGCTGATCAATGAAAATCGATTTTCTGGTGATCCTGACATTTTTTTTTTTGTTTTCTGAAGGCGCTACTGGCTCGCTGTCTGTCTCGGACCGAAACAGTTTGGTAAAAAGCTTTCA